TTAACACGTTCCGTGCCACGTGTGCCATCGATGGTACACGCTTGCATGTTTACTTAGTGAACTGAACAAATTGTTTACAAGAAATTTAGAACCGAAGAATCAATTTCCACCGCAAGAATGGGCGTTGATAAGTTTTTGTTATATTGTTATGTGTACGAGAATTAATAATTGCACGTAATACATCAAGTTTTAGTAAAATATCAAAGTGTGAAGATTCGAGTAAAAAAAGCTCGGCACGGAACGTGTTAAAATGCTATGTTAATTTTCAGCTCATGTCATAAACGTTTAAAGTATCGTCTATAAATGGCGACAAGCTTGGCAGCAGTAAATGCATCGAATTATGTTTATCAACCTACAGATTTGTACAAGGTGTGTTCCCAGACGACTGCAAATTGAATATTAATCTCGACAAGTGTTTCATAATGACATATTATTCAAAGGGACAATAATAATCAATCGCTATCAATTGTGGTATCGATTGTTTGTTAAGACATGTAGAACTACTAACACCATAGTTGCACAGCTTATTATTCATGAACAACTCTTTAAACTTAAACAATAATTTTCAAATCGTACGATTGGTGCTAATGTGTGTCACACTCACCGGATCTGACGTCATTAGACTTCGTTTTTAGGAGATTTTTGCTGAGAGCAATTAGTACTTCAAAATATTAAATGTATCGCATAATTAAAGCTTGTGCAGCTACTAAAGTGGAAACAATTGAAAGAGCTTTAAAATACATAATTAATTGACTGTTTTTAAAACTGTCATTTCACATATTATTACAGCATTTTTTCAAAATAGAATCTGTCTTCTACGATTAAATTTACTTCAAGGCCAGGTTTTAGACAGCATTGACCGCGTTTCGCTGCAAGATACAGTCATGTTCCATAATTTAAAACAATTCTGACACGTACACTGCTACCATGCATTTATGACAAAAATGGATAAGTAAAATATCATGCAGTAAAAACGTCAGAATAATTTATGAGCGTTGTTATATTGTTTACGAATTTATGAACACTGTTATATTATTGACGAATTTATAAACGTATGGAAACTGTTATAAATAGAAATACATCTTTATGTAAGTTCTGTTTCGCCCACAATTGATGCACAAAATGCTCATTTTGAGTAAAGATTCATCGGTGATCCAGTGAGATTTAAAAAGAAATGAAAAAAGCATGCAATCCGTGCTATTCTCTTTTTGCACTATTAAATACGAAGGAAACATTTAGGCTAAGATCTTCTTTTAGCTAAGACACTCTGCGAAATGTCTACTTATTATTGTTTATCTTGTTTCCTCGTATAGATAGCGTCCCCCCTCAGAAATCAGTGAATCCATGCGCGTGCAGTATTCTAATCCATTTTGTCAGCGGACAAAAACGAATGCGAATGTTACTAAATCTGCCTGTAATGTGGATTTATTAAAGGTTGCATTAAACACGACTCGTACGTAATAGTGCTCAACGTTAATCGTCATTCTGTGGGCAGTAACAAGGTCACTGGATGTAACTCTTTATTCGTAATAAACGATGATCACAGTCCCGTGGATTACCACTTAATTTGGCAACGAGCATTTAGCCCGACCAAATCGTAGAAATATGTTTAGAACTGTACAAAATACATTTATTCTTTGCGACGAATAATTCCTCATTATTTATGCCACCTCCACTGCGTCGCGCAATCGTGCCGAAAATCATAACTAAATTGGAGCTTATTTGTTTGCTTGATCAAATAATCAATTTCAAATTCACAAAGTCACTCTTTTCATGTATTATTGTAACCAGGATTTAGAAACATTGTTGTTTCAATCTAAGAGTAATTAATATCGACTTTTTATATTTCACTTTACAGTTATTGCAACATTAAAAATAATTGTTTAACCAAGCTTTCGATTTCTTTTTTTGTGATATATATTACTTATAAAAATCTGTATCTTTATGGGGAGTTTTGTGTACGATACATCGGGATTATAGTAATTTCGTAGTGTGATTTAGATCATAGCGTGACAGAATTGCAATCCTCTCCAGCTTAATAAAAGCATTATTTTAATGTCTGATATATCAGCGGTGCTCCATTTCCATCCGTCATACATTCAAAATGGTATGCGTATAGCGAGCTCAGAACGAGTTCGATGCTGAAATTCAATCACATTGCTCAGATATTGTACCGATTGTTGTTTCCGGTTGTGACACTGAAATAATTTGTGCCGCGTCGGTGCATCTCACGCATATGTAAATTAATTCTACGAATGTCCGACCGTACTAGTCGAACAAATTAAACAGCATTCACTGATTCGACTTCGTGATGCACGATATAACTCGATTATTGAAACAACTGTTTCGACGTATGTTATTTTATGGTAATGATGTCACCCGTTTTTCCTGTTTGTTACTACTTTACTATATCTTCATCAACCATATTGATGCGTCATGAAGAACATTAAAACTTTACTGCGGTCATCGTAGCGTGCAAATATGTTATTATAGTAACATTTAAGATATAATAAGTACGTAAAAATGGCTACTAACTGAATATCAAGCGGTATAAATAGACAACAATGGTTATTAATACTATTATTGTAATTACGATAATATGTAATTATATTAATAATCAAAACGTTACAATATCGTGTAGATATATTAATACTATTTAAAATATAGTTATCAATATTTCCTGAAATTTTTATGTAGTAAAATACTGATCGTAGAAACTGTGATAAGTAGACTACGGATTTTGAAACAAAATAAAAATTGTTTGCATTAACTGCAAGGTACTGAAGATACATAGACACTTCTTTTTCTTTTTAGTTATTTTATTGAGTTGAAACTAATCCAGTAGTGTCTTCAAATTTTGTAATCATTTTTATTGTTTTGTATTTGATCTATTAATTTTTGTCAGAAATGCATAAAATTCGCAGTCTAGCGATAAGTGTATTTTAAGAATTTATTTTCTCTATATGTGTCGAATTTTACCATAAATTAAACCACGTATTATATTATCATTTCATTTATTTGAATATTTCAACATTATTCGGTGTATTGGTTTCATTATTATTTTTTTTTATTCTTCAAGTATTTGAATGATGCGTGAATACATCTTAAGGTTTAATCGTACCTACTTTTGCTAAGTCAATGGAAATGTCATTGTTTATTCTTGTTATCAGCTTGCGGATTTTTATGCAAAATAAAAATGGTCTGCATCAAATACAGGGAGTAGAAACTAAACCTCGACTAAAATTAATAAATCGACATTTTTAAGCTCTTTTAACGTTTTCACTATTTTAGATTACGATCATTAAATTTTGTCATAAATGCATTAAATCCACAGTTTACTTATTATAATTCTCATATTGATTACTTCCAAGTGGAGTGAAATGTTTGCAAAGTGATTTAACACGGTATTCATTTTTGAATTAAGAACTAATTCTATGACATAAGAATCCAACGTTCAACAGAAATATACGGCTACAAGCGAAGACCTGACGTTGATTCTCGTGGAAATTTCATTCCTTCCTTTCAGCGCAGACTCTCCCACGAAAATGTAAATTAACACTGGTCGTATAACACCGGTGGTCACATGCTTCATGCAAATGAATCCTTAAATCAAATTCGTACTCTAAAACTACTAATTCACGAACAGCTTTTATAATGATTTCTAAGTTGTGTGTGAACGTTATACATAATAATATTTTTCGTGCACATGTTTGAACAATATTTCAAAACGAATAGCGTACAAACAAATTGTTTAAAATATTCATTCATTCGACATTTCATTGTCATTTACAGATCAACGAAAAATAAGAACTGCATTACATAAAGTAATTATATTAGACTAAATTAAGTTAATAAAGTAACTATATTAGCCTAAATTTGCACTGAATTAGATTTACTAATATATCGATTAGGGTTGTGAATATCAAAAAGCGTGAACAGTTCGAATCTTTTAAACTTTATTACAAATTGTAAGCAAATATTTTTTACTATCGTATACTACTTCATAGAAAAACTATCAAACGAATATCTTTCACTTATCAGCGTAAGTTATTCGTTAAATGTTCTTTTCAAACTTTTCTGCT